GGCCAAATTTAGAGAGTACAGAGGTTTAATAGCTTTAAGGTGATGAGAATCTGGAGCATTGGTTCTTAATCCTTTAAGAAACTAATGAAAGCTAATGGTCTTTTATACATTCATGTAGGTATATACAAAATTAGGCATAGTTTCTGTGAATTTTCAGATTGTCTGTTACCTCCCAATAACTCCATGGACCCTTGAATAAAAACCCCAAGTCTACACTCTACTCCATGCAGAGGAGATGAAAAGTAGAAGAAAAATTTAAGGGGCATTTTAAGGAAAAAATAGCATTTACATTACTAATTTGAGGGACAGTGAGAAGAATGCTGCCATTAAGATGTTGAATTGAGAAATGTAGCTGCTAAGAGGACAGTCTTTAATTTTGTGACCCATTGACAATTAGAATTAGAGAACTGCAATTCTGGTGGAAATCTGAACTAGGGAGGCAGATTTAGGTGGTCAGCAGAAAATAATTACTGACATCATGGTATTTTTGCTTTTCAAAGGGGTTGGTGTATAAAGAAACATATATTTAGGGAATGAGAAAAGAAGAAGTATTTAAAAATAAAAATAGAACTCTGAAAAGTAGGATGAAATTAGGATAATATACTATCACAAAAGTGAAAGACTAGAGAATATAAATATTGTTATAGATTAGAACTCAAGTCAAAACTTGAGCACCTGTGGAGTGAACTGAATAAAGCAAGGATAGGCAGGGCAATGAGTGGCTTCATGGATCAGTAGGTCTGAAGGCAATGTTCCAGAGAAGCTAGAAAGCAGAAAAAAAAGTGGAATGTTTTGGAGGCATGATGGCTCCAAGGAGTTTTTGGATAATAGAGTGAAGGAGAAAACTGAAGATCTGGGCTGAGACACCAATTCAAGACACAGGAGGGTAAGCACATTTAACAAATAAAAGCCAATAGGAGTCAGGCATAGAGAAGGAAGAACAACTTAACTACAGAACACAAATGTTGACAGAAACCTGATTCTAATAGGCTTTGTACTTTTAGCCTCTTTTCTTTTGATTGGTCCTATGGATACCAAATATTGAAGAATCATCAGAAGTCTGGGAGGTCCATGATGCTGGGTCAGAAATAAGGGAGCTTCCAACTGGGAAAAACAAGACGGCCTTCAAGAAAGTAGGTTTCATGTAGTATAAGAAGGAAAATTATAGGTATATGTCCCTACAATGGCCCTTTCTAGTGCTATTGCTATACAAAAAAGTGAGGCAAGAGTCTTTTAGAAATGGTGGACAGGTAATTAAAATTAATCTGACAACTGAAAACAACAAATAATACTGGCCAAAAATATAGAACATATCTTCTTAAAGGCCAAAAATATCTGATTGAAGTGAAGAATAGTGGTCTGAAGACCTCAACCTTTAGTGTCTTTTATTCTTCTTTGGACAGCAACAATTAGAAAATAATTTTACATGGGGAGAAATGCCAGATATAGCATGCACCTAAAGTAAAATAAATATATTAAAAAAAGAAAATAATTTTAATTTTAAAATTAATTTTAAAACATGTTATATAAGATGATATCCAAATAGCCAATAAATGTATGGCCAATATTCAAACTCACTTAGTCATCAGTAAAATGCAGATTAAAATATGAGATTATATCACACTATTAGAATAGCTAATATCAAAATTACTGGCAATATAAAATGTTAGAAAAATTATGAAAAATATAGAATTCTTAAATACTGATATTTGTCACTTTGGAAAATGTGTTAGCATGATTCTTAAAAAATATCCCTACAGAAATGCATGCACATACCTACAAGTACACACATACATGAATATTCACACACATTATTCATTATAGTCAATTACTGGAAAGAACAAAAACATCCATCTGTAATAGAATGGATAAAAAACAAACTTTCCATGTTTATCCAATGGAATACTACACAGTAATGAAAAGGAGATCTACAGATACATGAAACAACATAGACGAAACATTTATAATGCTGAATGTAAGAAGGCAGATTTTTAAAAATTACATGGTATATACATCTATGAATATAAATTTAAAGCACAAGAAAATCTAAAGTTGTATTTTTATTTGGTAAAAGTGTGAAGAAGAAGAATAAAGCAATTATTATGGCAATCAAGAAACTGGTTACCTGTGAGTTTGATAGAGTGATATTTGGGCATAGAGAGGCATCTGAGTACTGGTAATGCTCCAGGTCTGGAGAGGAGAGTGGTTTCATGGGTGTATGCTTTGCTTTGTTATGTAATCGAGCTACACATTTTTATGCAGTATTTTGGATGTGTTAAATTTATAATAATAAAGTTTTTTGAGGCAAGCTTGAGGAAATGTCCTCACGTGTAAGAAGAATGCAGAAAAAATTATCTTGAGTGACCAGCATCCTTTTGTCCCTTATTATTACTGAAAACTAAAATTTAAAAATTAAAAAAACTAAAATCTACTGAAAACTAAAATCCATTTCCAGAACTAGCAAATAGAGCTTGAGCTTGAGAACAAGTAGAAACCATAGAGGTTTGAATATTTCTATTTTACAGATGGGAAAATCAGGCCTAGGAGTTTTGCATATAAGCTCAACATCCAATAACTGGCTGGAACTGAGAACCAGGTTTCCTGCTTATAAGTACAGATTTTTTTTTTTTTTTTTTTTTTTTTACTACACACTGTTATTTCTTGCTAAATTCCCCCTTTGAACTGTGAATTTAAACTTGGGTATCATAAATAGATTGATATATTGAAATAGACTTTTAAAGATACATTTGTGGGGTAATTTTTCTCTGAAACTTTTTTCCATTGTAAGTTAATGTACATCATGAAATATCTTCACCTAGTAAATCTGTTCAGAATTAATGGATGTGCAAACTGTCAAATGATGCTCATGTTAAATGTGGGCTTTTAAATAAGTTGGTGAGTTAATGTCTCTGCTCACAGCAAGGGACAAAATTTCACATCTAACATTCATAAATGTGGACTCTTTCCTACATTTATTAGCATTGACTTATTACTATAAAATATAATGGGAAGGTGTGAACATGACATATATTTTGTTACATATTTTTAGTTTATAATTAAAAAAGAATTCTATATGATAGGCTTTGACAAGGACATGCCTCAGAGATGATTTTATCTTTGTTCACATGTGAAACCAACAGAAAAAAAGAAAGCTATTAATACATCCAATTCATTTGACAAATATTTATCCAATGTTCAGTAATGCAAGTTTAAAAGTGTAGTACTCGCAGTGTTTTCAAGTTAATGATATGATATTTGCATTCCCAAAATAAAGATTTGGTTGTATTTTTGGCTTGTGATTTAATTCTGTTTCTCTGCATGAATCTTATTATTCCAAAGTCATCTTTATTACATGTGTATTGATCTGTTAAGTAATAATCAACTAGTGACAAAAGAGGGGAAAGAAACACATATATCCGGTAGCAATATTATTACTCTTAGTTTAAAGGACATTCTCATGTCCTGAGTTTTGATGGCTCTGAATACCTTGAGATATTGCTGTCTTTCATCATACAGGGAAGTGTGGAATTCTTCATTTCTTTGTTTTCCTTACCTTTCACAACTACCCTTGAAAGTCATTACCTATCTGACCTGCATCTTCTGTATATTATAGCACCTAAAATTAAGCATAATGCCTTCTTCAGAGTAATATGTTTATTCAGTTTAGAATTTCACCCCATTCTAAATTGAGATATCATAATTACATTGTTCAATAGTTTGTCACAATGCTCGGAGGAATACTTTAGCAAATTAAAGGGAAGACAAAAACCTATTTCATTATTTAATGACACATTTTCTACTAACTAATTCATCTTTGTTATAAAATGAGGGAGTATTTTTCCCTTCTGATATTGCTAATCAAAATCAGATCAACAGATATCAAACATTTGTTCTTACAAGGTACTGTGGGAAATATATAGAAGTAAAAGATACAGTGCTTAATTTCAGCAGATTTTGCATTTCAGTTAGACAAGGAGAAAAATTAAATACTAAATATGATATAATTAGTATTTAAATAATTCTTCATTGCAACAAAGTTTTAAAATATTTTAGTATTGGCATTAAACGTCTATACATACATTTCATATGTATTCTAAAATGCAAATAAATATAAATACAAATAAATAAACAAACAGAAAATAATGGGTTGTAACTGACATTTCTTCCTAGGTAAAATATTTGATTCCATAATTTCTATGCCATATATATATATATATATATGAAAGAGAGTTTTGGTAAATCTGTGTCACAATATGAAAGTAGGTCTCAAGGAAAAAGAGTAGTCAGTTCTCTAATTTGCCTTGAAATGAATTAGAATCTTTCTATTATTCTCATGTCAGTATGGCAGAAATAATTTTTTACTAAAATTCAGCAAATGTCTAAAGTAAATTTTTGTGATTTAAAATAAAAACATCAGAATAAGGCCAAAAAAGAGTAAATGTATTTCATTTATTGAACATGCAACTGCAAACAGAAAATAAGTCTTATGTATTATACAGTGAACACTGCATCAGTTTACTCTCCCGGTCAACTGAACAGGAATGCTCAGCAAAGCAACTTCCCTGCAGTCATTCAACAAACAGTATTGATGGTCTGCCATACATGCAGCACTTCGTTTTGAGGCAGCAGAGGATGCTTTGAAATAAAATACCCAGTCCTTTTCCATAAGGAGTGTCAATCTAGACTGGGTATAAGTCATGACAGTGGCTGATAAATTACTGTATAAGAATAAATAATAAAACTAGACAGCGTTATAAAGAACATCTGCAAAAACTATATGATAAGTGATGCAGGAGATATGTATGCTAGAAGCTCCAAGAAGAAAAATGTCATTCTTGGCTGATTATGCATTATGATCTTATACCAACCAATTCTGGGACATTGATAAAACATTTATTAAATGAAATTATTTGTAACTATGTCTTTATATCTTTGTAGACATAGAAGGGTTTGATTAAAAATAAAAGTATCTGCTTCAATGTAATAAATAAGAGAACTTCACCTCTGTGTTTTGTTAAATTCTTGAGTATTCATTAAATGTGTGTATTGCCATGGCTACTTTTTTCTTATTCATACAGGTACAATCTAAGGAAAATTTATTTCTCATCCTTATTCCATACCCCCTTGTTTAGATTAATTACCTAGAATTCTAGGAATGTCATTTTATGTTACTGATCTCAGTATCTCTTTGTTTTGGTATTAACTGTTCCAATGTATTTATAAGGGAGTCGGAAATGAACTACATGAGGGGGAGAAATCCACATAATGTTAGGGTTTAAATAAAGAATGCAATTCTTATTTATGGAGACATCTCTAATAGAAGGGTAGCTTCAAAACTGCATTTTCATCCTTGCTTTTTTCTACATCTGAACTCTATCTTTTCTTCTTTTTGGAAAGCCCACTCTAATATATCTACACAGATATATATATATATATCTGTGTAGATATATATATATCTGTGTATATATATATATATATATATATATATAGTTTTTATTGATTCAAAGTGATGTAAATGTTCACCATCCATACCCTAGAGTCGAAATATCTATATTTGCTTATATATTTATTCTTACTCTCCTACAGAAGTTTAATCTCTTAACCAAAGGTCCTAAAGATTCTTATTTATTTGGTGCAGATATAACGTTGATAAAAATTACTAAATTATTTTAAACTGTTTAAAAAGATAAGCACTAAAGAAATTTTTATCATCAGTATTTTTAGGACATATAAGTATCATAATTTTTCAGCTCTTTTAAGTCATGTCACTTTTCATTCAGTTTGGATTTTAGGATATTTGGATTTAGGATATTGGATGTTAGGATATTTGGATACTTTCATTCAGTTTGGATGGTGGCCCTGACTCACAATCATATAAATTGATAAAGTTAGACTTTGGAAATCATAGCAATAGTCCTGCTTCTTGTAGACAAGCAGATTCTGTATTTTAGGGAAAATTAAAGCCAAATTAAAGTGCCTCCTCGAGATACAATGGTGAGCAAAACCAGACATGATTCCAGTCCTCAAGGGTAGAGCTGCTAGATAATCGATGAAGTTCTCTGCCAGATAGAACGATGAAACAGAAGGAATTTGCTTAAGGGCACCCACGCATTTAATTGCAGATGTTCACAGAAGGCATGCAAGACTTAAGGTACTTCCATATTCTGTAAAGGCTTTATTGAAATACCATAACATTCACCTATTTTGAGTACTGTTAAATAAATTTAAGCATATTTGCAGAGTTCTGCAACCATCACCACGATCTAATTTTAAAACATTTTCATCACACTAAAAGAAACATTTATTTATTTACCATTTATTTACCATTAATCCTATTTCTACTCCTAGTCCCAGGCAATCACTACTTTCTGTCTCTCTATATTTTGCATTTAAGGACATTTAATGCAAGTGGAGTCATATAATATGTGGTCTTTATCTCTGGATTCTTCTACTTATAATGTTTTTGAGATTTATCCATGTAGCATATATCAGTACTTTATCCTTTTTTATTGCCCAATAGTATTTTATTTGTATGGGTTTCCAGTTTTAATATACATTAGAAGGAAGTTTTTAAAATGCAGAAATGTCAAAATGTGATTACAAAAATCATAGTATAATTTAAATGTTTTATTATAATAAATTAATATCAGCATAGAAAGATGCAATGACTTTATGTCTATATGGATAACTATATTTACATCAAAAATCTAAACTTAAGGCCTAACTTTCTTATCCTCTGCATATACATACTATTATGTCCTGATTACTTAGCATTTAGTAATCATTATTGGGGCCCTATAACTGGTATGAATGCTTTATAAAGTTTATAGCAGTTTATCTTCACAACAACCTTGTGGATAAATTCTATTCACTCTGGAATCAGACTGTCTGGGTACCAATGCCAGCCACTAACCAAGAATGTGATCTTAGGCAAGTCACTTTAGTATCAGTGCTTCAGTATCCACTATTAATATATGAAAACAAAAATAAGATCTAACAAAGGGTTTATTACAAATATCAAATTATATATATATAAGAATTCTTTGTGCATAAAAAGAACAATTTTCGTGTCAGCTGCTATTAATAGAAAAGTACACTGATGCTCAGAGATAAATAACTTTGTCCTGAGTGACACTGTAAGTAAATACTATGGCCATGATTCTAATACAGGCAACATGAGTATAGACACCAACAACTTCCTATATAATGGAGGAAAACATAGTGTCCAGGTCTAGGAGAAAGAATTTAAATCCATTATTTTATTCCCTTATGCTAGAAAACAAGCCACTTTTCAAATACTGAATATGCACAGTACAATTGGCATTGAGTCCACAGGGTTACTGACACAATAAATATAATCACATATGCTTAACTTGAGGAGGACTGAATTAATATTACTGGATTCTGGTTATATTGTTGTGATTATTTAAAGATATTATATACAAAGGGAATTTGAATCTGTGGAAGTAATCTTACAGATTTTTACCTGAGAAGTGGTAAATGATGAACTACCTAATGGTACTGAATTCTTCTGCATTAGATTTCTACCTAAAGTTTTAACTGACTGCAAACCCCTTTTATGACCACTGCAGTTTGCTCTGAGTCCTCTAGAGCTATTTAGAAAATTTCTATTAGAAAATATTTTATGAATGACCATATATTTATTAATCTGTGCATACTTAAACAAAAAAGACTCATTTCTACACTAGTAATCCCATTTCCAAGGAGAAGTACTATTCTATATACAGATTGATGAAGGAGTTATTAAATAGCTTTGCCCTATTCCTGTTTTTTTTGAAGGTAGATAATGACAATTATTTTAAAACTATTTTAAGTTCGAAGTTTGGTAAGAGATATTTGGCATTAAAAGGCCAATCACTGATTTATTTTCTTTTTCTAATTGACAAATTTTATTCTTTAGAGTAGTTTGAGATTCACAGTAAAACTGACTGTAAAGAGCAGAATTCCCGTATGCCCTCTGTTCCTACCAATTTATTTCTTATTAGACAACTTTGTCTCTGAAACTGATGGAAATGGCTTTTTCCTAAATGATTGCTTTTTAAAAGTGTAATTATATTAGTTGACTTCATTGTGATTTTCCTACATGCCCGTACATTTCTGAATTTTAAAGGAAGTGTAATTATTTCTTGAACAAAATTATTATTGTTGGATCGTGAATTGCTAATGCTTATGCTCTTAGTTCACCCATGAGTCATTTACTTCATTTAATTAAAAACATGTATTAAACTGGATTGTGCAATATTTGTATGTTGAAATTAATCAGAATTCCTGTTTATATTGTGGTGAAATAGAAGGTTCTTTACAATTTTCAAAAAGCTCTCAAAAAATCTTGAAATCATCTCTTGAAAAGGAAGACCTGGAATTTATGACTTTTTGAAGGAGAGATTTTAATCTTTTACTTACTACATAAAGACATATCCTTCCCTAGTACAGTGTGAAATCTAGAAACAAACATACTGGAAAACACTGGGGAAACTCTCCAGGACATTGGACTGGGTAAAACTTTCTTAAATCATATCCCACAAGCATAGGCAACCAAAGCAAAAATGGACAAATGGGATCATATCAAGTTAAAAAGCTTCTGCACAGCAAAGGAAACAATCCACAAAGAGAAGAGACAACACACAGAATGGGAAAAATATCTTCAAACTACCCATCTGACAAGGGATTAATAGCTAGAATATATAAAGATCTCAAACCACTCTATAGGAAAAATATCTAATAATCCAATCTAAAAGTGGGCAAAAGATCTGAACAGACATTTGAAAACAAAAAACCACAAATGGGAAACAGGCATATGTAAGGAGAAATGCAAATAAAAACTACAATGAGATATCATCTCACCCCAGTTAAAATGGCTTATATCTAAAAGACAGGCAATAAAAAATGCTGGCAAGGATGCAGAAAAAAGGAAACTCTCATACACCGTTGGTGGGAATGTAAATTAGTACAACCACTATGGCGGACAATTTGGAGGTTCCTCAAAAAACTAAAGAGAGCTACCATAACATCCAGCAATCCCACTGCTGGATATATATACCCCAAAGAAAATAAATCCGTATATTGAAGAGATATCTGCACTCCCATGTTTGTTGGAGCACTATTCACAGTAGCCAAGGTTTAAAAGCAACCTAAGTGTCCATCAACAGATGAATGCATAAAGAAAATGTGGTGCCTATACACAATGGAGTACTATTCAGCCACAAAGAAGAATGAGATCCTGTCATCTACAACATGGATTGAACGGGAGATCGTTATGTTAAGTGAAATAAGCCAGGCACAGAAAGGCAAACTTTGCATGTTCTCACCTATTTGTGGAATCTAAATTCAAAACAATTGAACTCATGGAGATGGGGAGTAGAAAGATGGTTACCTGAGGCCAAGAAAGGGAGTGGGGGTTGCAGGGGAAATGGGGATGGTTAATGGGTACAAAAATAATAGTTAGAAAAAATATTGAATAAGAACAACAATTTGATAGTACAACAGGGTGACTATATAGTAAGTAATAATTTAATTGTACATTTAAAAATAAGTAAAACAGTATAATTGTATTGTTTGTAACACAAAGGATAAGTGCTTCAGAGGATAGATACCCCCTTCCCCATGATGTGATTATTACACATTGCATGACTATCAAAACATCTCATATACACCTTCTATCTATTAATAAAAAGGAATCTAGAAAAAAAGCAATTTTATTTTTATTTTGTCTTTTGTACTATTTTTTGCTTAAAAGGGTATTCTGTCTTAGAAATTTTTAAACAAACTCTTATTGTCGTTACGGGTTAAATACATGAATCAGTATTTAAACATTTCACTGTAATTTTAAAAAAACAAATTCAGGGGAAAATGAAAAATCTATGTTAATCATGAATAAAATAATTTTATCTGGCAAAATTATGTTGTTTCTAAGAAAAATTTTAAAAAAGAAAAAAATTTAGATATTATTAACACATTACAGTGAGGAACCAAAGGGAAATAAAGGTGTGTTAGTGTACTTGTCTTTTTAAAGAGTCAATATATATGCAGATATGGTTTTAAAATATCAATAGGGGTAAACAAATATATAAATGCACCTTAATTTACAATGTTAGAGTAAATTAGAATGTTTAAATTTTAAAACAAGAGAAGAAATGTAGCCAATGGAAAGCAAGAAGGAGGGAAAAAAGGAGTAAAGAAAGTAATAGAAAAAACGTAAAACAGGGAAAATAAATGTGTCCTAACATATACAATTCAATGGAAATATTTAAAAGTCACTGATTCAAAGGATCTATAGAAGAAATACTTAATATGAAAGGTTATAAAATGGTTGAACATTTAAAAAATGGGAAAATACATATGCCAATCAAAAAACTTGCATAATAATCCCAATTACTGACAAAATAAAATTTAAGCCAAATATATTGTGAATGCCTAAGAAGGAATTACATACTTATAAAAGGATAAAAAATTGAGAATATATATCATCATAAAGCTATCGACTCCTAAATTTACATCCTCAAGATATGTCAAACATCTAGCAGAAACGAAGAAAAATAGATAACGAAATCATCAAATGTACCTGGAGATTGTTACCACTTTTATCTAAATAAAAATAATATATCAAGCATATATGCAATCAGCAGAGGTATTAAAAATCTGAATAATACAGTTTGATTTTTAGATATGTATAGAACTCTTCCCAGGAAATACTGGAAATGTTATAGAAAAAATAGATCAAGTTTAGGCCATAAAACAAGCCTTAAAGAAGTTCAGGTGATCAAGATCAATATCATGCTCTCTGATTGAAACAACAAATGCAACAAAATAGAAATTAGTAACAAAATATTGGTTTAAATATGATATTTTAGGAAAATGCCAAAACATATTTCAAAATAATCTTTTGATAAAAAATGAAATAAAAAGAAGTAAAGAGTAAAGAAACATTTAGAACCAAGTGACAATCAAAGTACTACATGTCACCATATAAAGGACACAAATACGAATGTATATATAAGAAACTATGTAGCTTCAAATTCATTGTTGGAAAACAAGACAGGTTTAAAATAAATGAACTAAACATTTAAATTCAAGTAGTTTGATAAATACCAATATTTAAAACTTAAAAAAATTTCTAAAATAAGTAAAAGACAAGGGTAGAAATTAACGAAATAGTGGCAAATGGTAATATAGAAGGTTAAAAAAAAAACAATGGTTATATGTTGTACTTTTAAAAGGCTAATTAAGTAGACAAATTTTTTATGATATAGTCAAAAGACAAAAGTGAGATATAAAACAAACAAAATGCAGAATGAGAAAGAAGAAAAACTTATTCAGTAAATAATTTAGAATAAATACATGCACAAATATATACTACTATTGAAAATGTGATTAAACTATACTATTTCCTAAAAAATGTAAAATGTCCAAATTGATGCAAGAAGAAATAGAGAATTTCAATAGACCAGTAAGAATCAAAGCAGTTGAAATGGCTAAATGGCTGTTAAACACTCTCTCTCACAAAAATAAATAAATAAACAAACAGACACAACAACCAAAAAACCACTCTAGAACTAAATGGTTTTATACATGAGTTCCACCAAAGTTTTAAGGAACACTTACTTCTCTTATATCATGGATCAGAATACAAAAACAGGAGCACATTTGCCCATCTCATTTTATCAGGATAGTGGAATCTTGATTGCAAAATCCAATAAGGATAATTTCCAATAACAAAATCAATAGCTCTGTTTTCTTATAAAAATAGATGCCAATATCCCAAGTAAAATATTAAACTATATCTAATGATGTATTTTGCAACACAATCAAGTAGGGTTATCAAAAAATGCAATAACATTCTAACATCAGAAAACCTATCAATATTGCTTTTAATGTAAATAGATCAAAGGAGAATTCATATAATTATCTCAATCAATACAGTATAAATATTTGATACAATTCTTCTGTAATTTAAATGGAAATTCTTATCAACCCAAGAATATAACCGAACTTCCTTATCCTGATGAATCTGTATTATAACTCATTACAGCAAATAGTATGCTTACTGAAGTGCCTTTGTTGCATTTCCTTTATGATTTGAAAGGCAAGAGTATCTACTATCACTGCTACATTTTAATTTAGGACAGGAGGACCTAGCCAAAACTAAAGAAAGGAAAACAGAGCTATTCAAGATTGGAAGGTAAGACAATGAAGTTGATATTTTTTGTGAATGAAATGATCACTTACCTAAAAGAACCAACAGAGTACAGACAAACTATAGGAATCAGCTGTGTTGTTGAAAGCAAAGTTATCCTATAAAAATCATCAGAAATAGCTAATTAGAACATATAATGAAAAAACTTGTCATTTATAATCTAGAAATCAGTTAAAACAAGAATAAGATATTCATAAAGAAACTTTAAAACTCCAGTAAGAATATATTCAACGCTTTTGATTAACAGACATAAAGATTGCAATTCTCCACATATTAGTGAAAAAATTCAATAGTATTCCAGTTAAAATTATAGCATGATATTTAAAATAATTGATAAACTTGCTCCAAACACTGTATGGATGAAAAAAATCCAGTAATAGATAGGTCAATCTTTAAAAAGAAGATTAAAAATGGAGGACTGACTATATCTGATATGAAGACATAAAACTAAGTCCAGAATTACAAAGAGTATGTTATCAAAGCAAGGAAAGCTCAGCAAATGAAATACCACAGTGAGTTCAGAGACGGGCATAGACGGGAACTTGACACAATATTAAACACATGTCAATGGGGGAAACAGATTGCAGGATGGCGGATGTTGGGAAAACTGGATTATCATATGAAATATAATAAAACTAGATTATTGATTATTTACTGCTACATGAAATGCTGTTTTATAATCAGATTAAAGGCCAAAATTTGAATGTCAAAACAATAACATTAATTTTTAAAAGTTTAGAAGGGCATGATTCATAGACAAGGAAAAACTTCTTTTAAAAATATCATCAATATGGCAAAGCTTTATGAATTTGATTATGTGAAAGTTAAGGATTTCTATTCAACAAAGAACACTGGACAAATTTAATTTGCAATTGACAAGGTAGAAAAATATATTATGTGCCATATCTGAAATAAAGAAGGATTTTACCTTTTTATAAAAAATTATGTGCAAATAAAGAACGACAATTCCAATTGCAAAAACTAATGGAAAAGAGGTATAACAAGAAATGTACTGAATGAAACCCTAAAAGGTAACAAGCATGTGATAAGACTCTAAGAATTACTGTCAACTACAGAACTAGAAATAAAAAAGAAAATGAGATCACACTACTAGACTGACAAAAATTAGAAAGTTACATTGTGCCAAATGTGTTCAGAGATCTGGCGATGGTCATCTTTATAATTGCTTTTAGGACTGTAGATCAGTTCATCTATTTAGAGGAGCAATCCACACTACTCAGTAAAATTAAGTGCACACATAGACTAAGCTTTAGCAATTTTGAGCCTGAGTTTATATCATAAGGAAATTTCATAGAGGTGCATCAGGGTACATGCACAAGGATGTTTATCACACTCGGCCTACATAAGTAAGTTCTGAAGATTTGTTCTACAATCAGGACACATGGACATAGGGAGGGGAAAAACACACACTGAGGCCTGACGAGGGTGACAGGAGTCGGGGGAGAGAAGGAGAGCATCAGGATAAAAAGCTAATGCATGTGGGGCTTAATGCCTTGGTGACGGGTTGATAGGTGCAATAGTTGAAGCAAACCACCATGGCACACGTTTATCTATGCAACAAACCTGCACATCCTGCAGATGTATCCTGGAACTTAAAATAAAATTAAATTAAAAAAAATCTGTTCTACAACAAAATGTCTCTAGTTAAAAATGTGGCATTATTCACTTCATAGTGTGTTAAAAGGGTAGATCTCATGCTAAGTATTCTTATCCTTCTCCCTTGACCAAAAACCAAAAACAAAAACAAAGGGATGAAAGAAAACTTTGGCAAGTGTTGAACAGCTTTTGCCTTGATTGTGGTGACAGTATGGCAGCTGTATATATATGTCAAAACTCATTCAATTGTATACATAAAATATGTTCAAATATATATCAAATAGTTCTTTATATATTAATTATACTCAAAGCTGTTAAAAATATAAAACAAAAAAAAATATGCACACAAAAGAACACATATTTTGCAAGAACATATACAGGCATACCTCGTTTTATTGCACTCTATTGTACTTTTCAGATGTTGCATTTTTTTAACAACTGAAGGTTTATGGTAACCCTGAATTGAGCAAGTCTATTGCCATAACTTTTTCAACAGCATGTGCTCACATTTAGTCTTCATGTCACATTTTGGCAACACTCACAATATTTCAAACTTTTTCATTCTTATTAAATCTGTTATGGTGTTCTGTGATCAGTGATCTTTGATGTTAACTATTGAAATTATTTTGGGGCACAACAAACCACACCCATATAAGACAGTGAACCTAATCAATCAATGTTGTGTGTGTGTTCTGACTGCTCCACTGACCAACCATTCCCTTATCTCTCTTTCTCTCCTCAGGCCTCCCTATTCCCTAAGACATAATATTGAAACTAGGCCAGTTAATAATCCCACAATGTACTCTAAGGGTTCAAGGAAGAGTCACAAGTCTCTTACTTTAAATCGAAAAGTAGAAATGATTAAGCTTAGTGACGAAGGCATGTAAAAAGCCAAGATAGGTTGAAAGTTAGTCCACTTGTGCCATATGGTTAGCCAAGTTGTGAATGGAATGCAAAAGTTCTTGAAGGAAATTAAAAGTACCACTCCAGTGAGCATGCAAATGATAAGAAAGCAAAACAGCCTTATTGCTGCTATCGATGTGTTAGTGGTCTGGATAGAGGATCAAACCAGTCACAATATTCCTTACACCAAAGCCTAATTGAGAGCAAGGCCCTAACTCTCTTCAATTCTATGAAGGCTGAGAGAGGTGAGATAGCTGCAGAGGAAATGTTAGAAGCTAACAGAGGTTGGTTCATGAGGTTTAAGACAATAAGCCATCTCCATAACATAAAAGTGTAAGGTGAAGTAGCAAGTGCTGATGTAGAAGCTATAGCAAGTTATCGAGAAAATCTAGCTACAATAATTGATGAAGACAAATACACTAAAAAACAGTTGGAAGACGATGCCGTTTAGGACTTTCATAGCTAGAGAGAGGTCAATGCCTAGTTTCAAAGCTTGAAAGGACAGGCTGACTCTCTTAGGAGCTAATGCAGCTGGTGACTTTAAGTTGAAGTCAATCCTCATTTACCATTCCAAAAATCCTACGGCCCTAAAGAATTATGCTAATTGGAGGAGGATCCAAGATAGCCAAATAGGAACAGCTCTGGAGTGCAGTTCCCAGCAAAAACAATGCAGAGGGTGAGTGCTCACTGCATTTCCAAACAAGTTTTCACTGCCAATAGACATGGAGATTCCGTCTCCAAAAAGTACCACATGTTTTCGGCACAGCTGGTGCCACGGGATGGTGCACAGAAACTCACACAAATTTGGGCAGCTGTTTCAACTGGCACCTGGAATGCCTGGGAGACAGAGCCGTCCATTCAACTGAAAGGGAAGGGGCTGAGACAGGGAGCCAGGTAATCTGGTTTGGTGGGTACTACTCCCACAAAACAAGCAATCAGAAAGGCTCTGGATTGAGAGTTTCACAGCAAGCGCAGCTGGACACCAGACAGTCCAGCTCAGTGGGGGGGAAAGGCATCCGCCACTACCGAGGCAGTTCACAGAGCAGCTGGGTAGAGCCTGCGGCAACTCAGCAACACCTCTGCAGGCAGACTGTGACTAGATTACTCCATGCGGAGCAGGGCATCTATGGAAAAAGGCAGCAGCATGTCAGGAACTTAGAAATAAAGCTGACCTTCCTAGGTCAGAGCACCTGGGAAAAGAGGTGGTTATCAGTTCCACTGCAGCAGACTTAAAAGTACCTTCCCAGCAGCTCTGCACAGAACAACAGAGCTCCCAGCACACTTGAGCTCCTGTAAGGGACAGACTATCTCCTAAAGCAGTTCTCCAACCACCGAATACCCGGAGACACCTCATAAAGGAGAGCCTAGGCCGACATCTGGCAGGTACCCTTCTGGGATGAAGATAACAGAAAAAGAAACTAGCAGCAACCCTTACTGTTCTGCAGCCCCTGCAGGTGATCCCCAGGCAAGCACGGTCTAAAGTGGACCTCCAGCAGTCCAGCAGCAGAGGGGCCTGATTGTTAGAAGGAAAACTAAAAGACAAAAAGAAATAGCTTCAACATCAATAAAAATGACATCCACTCAGAGACCCCATCCAATAGTCAAAGACCACAGGTAGATAAAGCCACTAAGATGGGAAAAAAACAGCTCAAAAAGGATGAAAACACCAAAAACCAGAACACCTCTCCTCTTCCAAGGAATCACAACTCCTCATTAGCTAGGGGTCAAAGATGGATGGAGAATGAATCTGATGAATTGACAGAAACAGGCTTCAGAAGGTGGGTAATAACAAATTTCTCAGAGCTAAAAGAATACGTGCTAACCCAATGCAAAGAAACTAAGAACCTAGAGAAAAGGTTAGATAAGACGTTAACTAGAATAAACAGCTTAGAAAAGAATATAAACGACTTGATGAAGCTGAAAAACACAGCACAAGAACTTCATGAAGCATACACAAGTTTCAATAGCGAAATTGACCAAGGAGAAGACAGGATATTAGAGACGGAAGATCAACTCAATGAAATAAAACGAGAAAGCAAGGATAGAGAAAAAAGAGTGAAAAGAAATGAACAAAGCCTCCAAGAAATATGGGATTATGTGAAAATACCTAATCTACATTTGATAGGTGTACCTGAATGTGATGGAGAGAATGAATTCAAGCTGAAAAACACTCTTCAGGATATTATCCAGGAGAACTTCCCTAACATAGCAAGCCAGGCCACCATTCAAGTCTAGGAAATACAAAGAACACCACAAAGATATTCCTCAAGAAGAGCAATGCCAAGGCACTTAATCGTCAGATTCACCAGGGTTAAAATGAAGGAAAAAATGCTAAGGGCAGCCAGGGAGAAAGATCGGGTTACCCAGAAAGGGAAGCCCATCAGACTCACAGTGGATCTCTCAGCAGAAACCCTACAAGCCAGAAGAGAGTGGGAGCCAATATTCAACATCCTTAAAGAAAAGGACTTTCAAACTAGAATTTCATATCAAGCCAAACTAAGCTTCATAAGTGAAGGAGAAATAAAATCCTTTACGGACAAGTAATTGCTGAGAGATTTCGTTACCACCAGACCCGCCTTATGAAAGCTTCTGAAAGAAGCACTAAACAAGGAAAGGAACAACCAGTACCAGACACTCCAAAAACATATCAAATGTAAAGACCATTGACATAATGAAGAAAATGCATCAACTAATGGGCAAAACTTCCAGCTAGCATCAAAATGGCAAGATCAAATTCACACATAGCAATATTAACCACAAATGTAAATGGGCTAAATGTCCCAATCAAAAGACACAGACTGGCAAATTGGATAAAAAGTCAAGACCCATTGGTGTGCTGTATTCAGGAAACCCAACTCACATGCAAGGACATACATAGGCTAAAAATAAAGGGATGGAGGAAGATTTATCAAGCAAATGGAGAGCAAACAAAAAAGCACGAGTTGCAATCCTAGCCTCTGAAAAAATGGACTTTAAACCAATAAAGATCAAAAGAGACAAAGAAGGACATTACATAATGGTAAAAGGATCAATGCATCAAGAAGAGCCAAGGATCCTAAATATATACGCACCCAGTACAGGAGCACCCAGATACATAAAGCAAGTTCTTACCAACCTACAAAGAGACTTAGACTCCCACACAATAATAGTGGGAGACTGTAACACTCCACTATCAATATTAGATCAACAAGACAAAAAATTAACAAGGATATCCAGGACTTGAACTCAGAACTGGACCAAGCGGACCTAATAGATATCTACAGAAATCTCCACCCCAAATCCACAGAATATACATTCTTCTCAGCACCGCATGGCACCTACTCTAAAATTGACCACACGATTGGAAATAAATCACTCCTCAGCAAATGAAAAAGAATGGAAATCATAACAAACAGTCTCTCACACCACAGGGTAATCAAATTAGAACACAGAATTCAGAAACTAACTCAGAACCACACAGCTTCATGGAAACTGAACAACTGGCACCAGAATGTCGACTGGATAAACAATGAAATAAAGGCAGAAATAAAGATGTGCTTTGAAACCAATGAGAACGAAGACACAACGTACCAGAATCTCTGGGACATTTAAAACAGTGTCTAGAGGGAAATTTATAACAATAAATGCCCACATGAGAAGCGAGGAAAGATCTAAAATCGACACCCTATCGTCAAAATTGAAAGAGCTAGAGGAGCAAGACCAAAAAAACTCAAAATTGAGCAGACGTTGGTGGCCAGGCTGCCAAGAGCAGTTCCACCGGATTTCACCATCTGAGACTTCCTTCGGGGCACCCCAGGCAGCAAACCATGATGGAGTATGAGTGGAAACCTGACCAGCAAGGACTTCAGCAAATCCTGCAGCTGTTGAAGGAGCCCCATCCCCAGACACCACCATCCAGAGAACCGTGCAACAATTCTAGAAACTGGAACAACTTAATCAATATCCAGACTTTAACAACTACTTGATTTTTGTTCTTATAAAATTAAAATCTGAAGATGAACCCACAAGGTCATTGAGTGGTCTCATCTTGAAGAATAATGTGAAAGCACACTTTCAGAACTTCCCAAATGGTGTAACAGACTTTATTAAAAGTGAATGTTTAAATAATATTGGTGGCTCCTCTCCTTTGATTAGAGCCACTGTTGGTATTTTGATCACAACTATAGCCTCCAAGGGAGAATTGCAGAATTGGCATGACCTCTTACCAAAACTCTGTAGCCTGTTGGATTCTGAAGATTACAACACCTGTGAGGGAGCATTTGGTGCCCTTCAGAAGATTTGTGAAGATTCAGCTGAGATTTTAGATAGTGATGTTTTAGATCGTCCTCTCAACATTATGATTCCCAAATTTTTACAGTTCTTCAAGCACAGTAGTCCAAAAATAAGGTCTCATGCTGTTGCATGTGTCAATCAGTTTATCATCAGTAGGACTCAAGCTCTGATGTTGCACATTGATTCTTTTATTAGGAATCTCTTTGCATTGGCTGGTGATGAAGAACCAGAGGTAAGGAAAAATGTGTGCCGAGCACTTGTGATGTTGCTCGAAGTTCAAATGGATCGCCTGCTCCCTCACATGCATAATATAGTTGAGTACATGCTACAGAGGACTCAAGATCAAGATGAAAATGTGGCTTTAGAAGCCTGTGAATTTTGGCTAACTTTAGCTGAATAGCCAACACGCAAAGATGTACTCGTAAGGCATCTTCCTAAGTTGATTCCTGTGTTAGTGAATGCCATGAAATACTCAGATACAGATATTATCCTACTTAAGGGTGATGTTGAAGAAGACGAAAACGATTCCTGATAGTGAACAGGATATATGGCCACGTTTTCACCGATGAAGGACAGTAGCTCAGCAGCATGATGAAGATGGAATTGAAGAGGAAGATGATGATGATGATGAAATTGATGATGATGATACAATTTCTGACTGGAATCTAAGAAAATGTTCTGCTGCTGCCCTAGATATTCTTGCAAATGTGTATCATGATGAACTGCTGCCACAT